CGATGGTTGTCCCGATGGTGTCCCGAGGTTGTCCGATCGGTGGTCACGATGGTCGTCCCGATGGTAGGTCCCGATGGTTGTTACCGATGGTTGTTCCGATTTGTACCCGATGGTTGTCCCGATGGTTACCCCGATGGTTGTCCCGATGGTTGTCCCGATGGTTGCCCCGATGGTTGTCCCGATGGTTGTCCCGATGGTTGCCCCGATGGTTGTCCCGATGGTGGCCCCGATGGTTGCCCCGATGGTTGTCCCGATGGTTGCCCCGATGGTGGTCCCGATGGTTGTCCTGATGGTTGTCCCGATGGTTGCCCCGATGGTTGTCCCGATGGTTGTCCCGATGGTTGTCCCGATGGTTGTCCCGATAGTTGTCCCGATGGTTGTCCCGATGGTGGTCCCGATGGTTGTCCCGATGGTTGTCCCGATAGTTGTCCCGATGGTTGTCCCGATGGTGGTTCCCGAATTTTGGTTGTCCCGATAGTTGGGCCCGATGGTTGTCCCGATGTGGTCCCGTGGTCCGATGGTGTCCGATGGTTGTTCCGATAGTTTTGTATAGTCCGATGGTTTTGTTCCCGATGGTGGTTCCCGTATGGTTGTCCCCGATGGTTGTCCCGATGGTTTGTCCGATGGTTTGTCCCGTCTCGTAGTTCCGAGGTTATGTCCCAGGATGCTTGGCAGATGGGGGGTCCGATGGTCTTGCCCCGATGCTTGTCCCGATGGTTGTCCCGATGGTTGTCCCGATGGTTGTCCCGATGGTTGTGGCTGTCCCGATGGCTGTCCCGATGGTTGTCCCGATGGTTGTCCCAGTGGTTGTCCCGATGGTCGTCCCGATGGCGGTCCCGATGGTTGTACTGATGGTTGTCCCGATGGTGGTCCCGATGGTTGTCCCGATGGTTGTCCCGATGGATGACCCGATGGTGGTCCCGCTGGTTGTCCCGATGGTTGCCAACATGGTTGTCCCGATGGTTGTCCCGATGGTGGTCCTGATGGTTGTGGCTGTCCCGATGGTTTCCCCGATGGTTGTCCCGATGGTTGTCCCGATGGTTACCCCGATGGTTGTCCCGATGGTTGTCCCGATGGTTGACCCGATGGTTGTCCCGATGGTATACTCTTGTCCACGATGGGTTGGGTCCCGATGGTTGTCCCGATGTTGCCCCGATGGTGGTCCCGATGGTGGTCCTGATGGTGGTCCCCCCGATCGTTCTCACGATGGTTGTCCAGATGGTTGCCCCGATGGTGTACCGATGGTTGCCCCGATGGTTGTCCCGATGGGTATGTCTACAAATGTCTGTCCCAGTGGTTGTCCCGGATGGTGTCCGATGGTTGCCCGATGGTGGTGATGCCCGATGGTTGTACTGATAGGTGTCCCGATGGTTGTCCCGATGGTTGTCCGATGGTTGTCCCGATTTGTGGAGTAAAAGATGGTTGTCCCGATGGTTGCCCCGATGGTTGTCGCGATGGTCTCGGTGGTTGTCCCCATGGTTGTCCCGATGGTTGTGGCTGTCCCGATGGTTGTCCCGATGGTTGTCCCGATGGTTGTCCCGATGGTTACCCCGATGGTTGTCCCGATGGTTGTCCCGATGGTTACCCCGATGGTTGTCCCGATGGTTGTCCCGATGGTTGCCCCGATGGTGGTCCCGATGGTTGGCCCGATGGTTGCCCCGATGGTTGTCCCAGCAGTTGTCCCGTGTCCCGAGGGTGGCCCGATGGTCTCCGAGGTTTGACCCGATGGTTGTCCCCGATGGTTAGTTCCCGAGGTTGTCCCGTGGGTCCGATGGTTGTCCCGATGGTTGTCCCGATGGTTGTCCAGATGGTTGTCCCGATGGTTGTCCCGATGGCGGTCCCGATGGTTGTACTGATGGTTGTCCCGATGGTGGTCCCGATGGTTGTCCCGATGGTTGTCCCGATGGTGGTCCCGATGGTGGTCCCGATGGTTGTCCCGATGGTTGTCCCGATGGTTGTGGCTCCCGATGGTTGTCCCGATGGTTGTCCCGATGGTTACCCCGATGGTTGTCCCGATGGTTGTCCGATGGTTGCCCCCGATGGTTGTCCCGATGGTTGCCCGAGTGTTGTCCCGATGCCCGATGGTGGTCCCGATGGTTGTCCCCGATGGTTGTCCCGATGTTGTCCCGATGTCCCGATTGTCCCGATGGTTGCCCCGATTGCTTGTCCCGATGGTTGTCCCGATGGTTGTCCCAGTGGTTGTCCCGATGGTTGTCCCGATGGTTGTCCCGATGGTTGTCCCGATGGTTGTACTGATGGTTGTCCCGATGGTTGTCCCGATGGTTGTCCCGATGGCGGTCCCGATGGTTGTACTGATGGTCGTCCCGATGGTTGCCCCGATGGTTGTCCCGATGGTGGTCCCGAGGGTCGTCCCGATGGTTGCCCCGATGGTTGTCCCGATGGTGGTCCCGAGGGTCGCCCCGATGGTTGTCCCGATGGTTGTTTCAGCGGTTGTCCCGATTGTTGTCCCGACGGTCGTCCCGATGGTTGTCCCGATGGTCGTCCCGATGGTTGCCCCGATGGTTGTCCCGATAGTTGTCCCGATTGTGGTCCCGATGGATGTCCCGATGGTTGTCCCGATGGATGACCCGATGGTGGTCCCGCTGGTTGTCCCGATGGTTGCCCCGATGGTTGTCCCGATGGTTGTCCCGATGGTTGTCCCGAGGGTTGTCCCGATGGTTGTCCCGATGGTCGCCCCGATGGTTGTACTGATGGTTGTCCCGATGGTTGCCCCGATGGTTGCCCCGATGGTTGTCCCGATGGTTGTCCCGAGGGTCGCCACGATGGTTGTCCCGATTGTTGTCCCGATGGTTGTCCCGATGGTGGTCCCGATGGTTCTCCCGATGGTTTGTCCCGATGGATGACCCGATGGTGGTCCCGATGGTTGTCCCGATGGTTGCCCCGATGGTTGTCCCGATGGTTGTCCCGTTGTTTTTCCCGATGGTTGCCCCGATGGTTGTCCCGATGGTTGTCCCGATGGTTGTCCCGATGGTTGTCCCGATGGTTGTCCCGATGGTTGTCCCGATGGTTGCCCCGATGGTGGTCCCGATGGTTGTCCCGATGGTTGTCCGGATGGTTGCCCCGATGGTGGTCCCGATGGTTGTCCCGATGGTTGTCCCAGCGGTAATCCCGATGTTTGTCCTCCTCCTTCCTCCTCTTCCCCTCTCCCTCTTGCCTCCTCCCTCTTTCTTTTTGTACGACTGCTCCATGCGAGCACTCCTCTTCTCTCTCCCCCTGAAGATGGCGGGGGAGCGGCACGCCCCCTCCGCGCACTCCCTTAAGTGCACGCAGGGCTTCGTCGTTTGGTCACCCCGCTCCGGCGCTGGCCTCATTTGGGATCGGTGCTTTGCTCCCGTCGTTCAGGCTGGCGCTGTCGCCCCGACGCCGGCCACGTTCCTGGATCCGAGTCCTCCCTCACGGTTGTCACCCCCCCCTGCTTTCCCCTCCTCCGCCTTCCCCTTGTCCTCCTGCTTCTCCCGCTCCGTCCACTCCAATTCCCGCTGCTAATGTTCGTCCTCGTCCTCCTCCTCCGTCCTCCTCCTCCTCCGTTTCCTCCTCCTCCTCCTCCTCCCACTCCTCCTCCTCCACCTCCTCCTCGTCCCACTCCTCCGTCATCTTGCTCTTTCGCCACCTCCTCCTCCCCCACTCCTCTTACGTACGCGGTTACGTTTGTTCGTCTGCGCACGACACTGTCGGTTGTTTTGGGGAGTTCCAAATCCGCAATGACACACGTGTCCACGGATATGTTAAAACATCAACGCAATGGGAAGGGATGAGTGGGAGGGGTAGGATACCTGATATGGCGCGAGGGCATCTGGGTTGTCCTCCTGACATTGCTCTCTTCCTCCTCCTACTCCTTCTTATTCCTCTTCCTCTTCGTCTTCCCCTTCCTCTTCCATCCTACAGCAGTGGGCGGGAAGAAGGATGTGTGATGAGGCTTTCGGCTTGTGTCCAATGGTTCGAACGTTCCTCTTCCTCATCTTCTTTCTCATCCTCCTCTTCCCTCCCGTTGTCCCTCTTCATCCCCTCCGTCCCTCCCCCGACGGGCCTGGTGCCAACCAGGACGAGCCCTACTCTGTCCGAGGAGAAAGAGAGAGGGAGAGAGACAGCACGGTAGACCAATGACGAGATACGATATTGAGAGAAGGAGAGATAAGTAGAGCGATAAAGGATAAACGGTACGAGTGTGTGTATATACACATATATATACACATGACTCAGTCGAGATTGTTGCATACATATCTATAGTTGAAAGAGAGAGAAGGAGAGAGAGAGAGAGAGAACACGAGAGACAGAGAGAGAGAGAGAAAGGGAGAGAGAGAGAGAAAGAGAGAAGGAGAGATATCAACAAGTGAGAGGGAGGGAGAGGATAACGACATATCTATTCATATATATATACATATATATATATATACATATATATATATGGAGAGAGAGAAATAAACATATAAATAACAGAGAGAAAGAGAGAGAGAGAGAGAGAGAAAGAGAGAGAGAGAGAAAGAGAGAGAGAGAGAGAGAGAAAAAAAAAGAGAGAGAGAGAGAGAGAGAGAGAAACAAAAGAGAGAGAGAGAGAGAGAGAGAAAAGGCCGCGCACGCCGTGCGCGGGAGTTATCTAAGCGGGGGACGGCAAGTCGCCTGACCGCACCAGCCTGGGGGCGGCCGTTCCCTTCTGGAGGCGTGCGCCGCCTCGCCGCCCCCCTTTGCTGGCGGAGAGAAGGGGAGCAAAGGGGAGAGGGGATGGCTGCCAAAGCAGAAGAGGGGGACCTCGCCATCGCTCGGACGTCCGTTTTTTTGTGTTTTTTTGTCGGTTTCGTGCGTGGTGTTGTCGCCAACGGGTCAAGGATGTTCCTCGATGGCCCTCGCCGAAGGAAACATGCACACGTCCGAGCGATGCCAAGGGACGAGGGGCGGCGCCGGGAACATGAAAAAGGAAGGGGGGGCGCGGAGAGGCGTGGGGATGGAGAGGGGGAGAATGGAGGGAGGTTGGAGAATGGAGAGGAAATGCACAGGGCATGGAGCGGAGGGGGGCAGGGAAGAGCGAGGGGGAAGGAAGCTGGAACGGATGAGGAAAAGGAGCCTGGGGATGGGGAGGGTTCCACCTCCTCCTCCTCCTCCTCCTCCTCCTTCCCAGTCCCAGCCGCCGCTTCTGCTCAAGCCACCTTTTCAGCGGCCCAACAGGCACCCCGCGCAGAGCAGCTCCGCCCGCAAAAGGCGCCTTCCATGACATGCCAGCCTGGCTGGCCTCCATATTCTTCATGACGATCTGGATCGTTATGCAGTTCCTCCGAGGGGGAGTATATAATCTTATCTCGCTGCTGGCGCTGCATCGCCGCCTCGTGATCAGCCACACCCACAGCGCCATGGACGTGCAGCTGCCCCCAGCTCTGCAGTGGCGACTGCGCGACGCCAGCTCAGAGATCGACCAGCTCAAGACTCTCAAGCACGAAGTCTACACGTGGGGCTATGGCCGCGGACCGCTCACCAATAGTCATGAGGGAAGGGATATCATGGTGAGCTCCCATCGGTTCGGTCAGCGAGCCTTCGTCGATATCAAGAGCCCGCCCAAGCAGATACAAGGATACGCTGGTGCTCTCCGCTACCAGAGGGGCGAGTGCGACCTCGCCTTCATCGCGGCCTACTTCTCGCCTCGCTCGGGGCTAGCGGCAAAGTCTAACCAGTTGGTCACAACGGTCATAGAGACGCACAAGTGGATCAACAGTACGCTTCTTGCCACACCGACGTGCAGCACACCGACGATAGGCATTGACTCCAGAGATCATCAATATGGAGCTGACGGACTCATTGCAGATGAAGTACATGAGGCCTTCGGAGACTCACAACTACACGGTCGGCCAGGTGAAGCAGCCGCCTCCTGCTATAACATGTTGGACGTTCATGGATTTCGCCTCCCCAATACCTTCTTGAAGGCTGGCCCTACCTTTTTTGGTGCAGCTGGACAAGCTACGAGACCCGATTACCTCCTGGTTCCCCCAGGGCTATTGCAGAATCTCCAGACAAGCGGTATTTGGTGGAAGGCAGTGAAAGCGGTTCAGCAGCTCAAGTACAGCGTGCCGAGGGACCCCGAACCACTTGTCGCCAGGGCCGACATCGACATGCACAATATCTTCTCTGGCTTTTTTTTCGGACGTTATGGGATTACGACAAAATGGCAGAGTTCCTGACTGGTGATTATCGCAATGAGTTCATATCAGCCCTCGCGACCTCGCTGGAGCACCACACAGATACCATCCGCGAGCTCAAACAGCACGACCAGGGAAAGTTCCTGATCGACATGCTCAAGACCACAGCCAAGCCCTACGTCGAGAGAAAACAAAAAAGCCTGGTACCAGCAAGCAGCTCATGGCAGAGAAGCCCCAGCTTCTGAAGATAATTGCGGAGCTGCGCAAGCAGTACATCGGCGCAGGGATCGATCTTGTCTTCGGTGAGAAGATGGACGCACTCACGAGGGCTTTCAAGAAGCAGAAGCAACTTCACGACGCATCCCGCAAGAGAGCATGAGAGGCACAGATCACTGAGTCATGGCAAAAAAGGCAGCACGTCAAACGACATCGACCCCACAGGTGCATGGCAGGCACCAATCACGGCAAGAGGAACCGCAACTACTACAGCAGGGCAACCCGTTCGAGACCGAGCCTCGTCGAGAGGACTACGCACGGTGCACTCAATGGCGCTCATGGAGGATTTCAGGCTCAACCTTTCGACTTCGAGGAAGAGAAAAAGATGCTCATGGCCGCCTTCGAGGACCGCGACGACGACGTCAAGCAGCAGATCAAGGATAAGTATCACGAGGAGAAAGAGTACTTGGGCACCCTGTACTACGGAGACAAGAAGCGGCCCAAATACTTTAATCAAAGAGCTCAAGTTCCCGTATGGTCGTTGCCAGCTGACATCGCCCAGATCATCCTGCAGCCTACAGACACCACAAAGAGAAAGCCGCAGGCCCAAGGCCTCGGTTTCTACGAGGAGCTGATGGAGGCGCCGTCGCGGACCGTGCAATGTCTCGAAGGGCTACTTCATCATGTCTACCGGGTCGGCTTCGCTCCAGTGGACGCGCATCACAGCCTAAGCTTCACGCTCGACAAGCTGAACGCCAAGCCCTCTGTTCAAGGATCGCGTATACTGCACATGTATTGGCCACTCAGGTGCTACGTGTACTGTCAACTACACTGCCAGTCTCTTTCTAGACAAGATCAATGCAGCGACGGTACTGCCCAAAGTCTAACACATCTAACCCAGCAAGTGCTTCGACTCCTACTCAGCGTAGCTCTCGCTGTTCGCGCAGGGCGCATGAACGGTCGCGGAGAACGAGGTGGAACCGATGATGGAGCAGCTGCAGTGGGTCAGCATCCAAGATACCATTCACCGTGTACTACTTCAGAAAGGAGCGGTGGTCAAGGAGGGCAAGGCACCAGCGGGAGGCAGGGCTGGTGAGCTGGCTGCCTGGTTCGCAGGACAATGAATTTGTATGGAGGCCGACTATCTACGCCATGGTTGGTTTCAAGCTCGGCGTGCGCGACGCCGTGAGCTGAGTGAAGGCGCCCGCGCTGTGCGGGCGACGGCGGGGGCTAGAGCAAGAGGCACGCGCCAGACTCCGCCCCCCGAGGCCGCTCTTCTTCTTCTTCTTCTTCTTCCTTCCCAGTCCCCTCCCCTTGCCCCCAACTGGTCCTCATCCTCCTTCCCGTTCGCCCCCCACCTCCCGAGGAGGACGGGGCTGAGGGTGGAGGAGGGGGGAAGGGGGACCCCGACGAGGGCAGAGTAGAGCACCACATCCTCTCCCCCCGAGCGCTCCGACGCCCCGTTCGGAGGCCGCCCGACTCCTCCACGCGCGCCCCTCCTGGCCTCTCCTCCCTGAAGCCTTGCTCAGAGCTGCCAGCAGCACCAGGACGAGGAGGATGCCTCCAATTCAATCGGGCAGCCTCCCATCCCCAGAGAGGTAGAGGAGGAGGAGGAGGAGGAGGAGGAGGAGGAGGAGGAGGAGAAGGAGGAGGAGGAGGAGGAGGAGGATGGAGGGAGTAAGAGGGGGGGACCAGTCCCCGAACGACCCCCCGTGACTGCATTGGAGATTCCCACCCTTCGGCCTCTCCTCCTGCTGCCCGCGCGGGGGGGCGAGCCGCATGCCGCCCCCCCGCTCCCGCTCCCGCGCGGGCGGCCGCTGCCTCCACCCGTCGTCGTCGTCGGCTTCGTCGCTCGCGTGGCCGGGATCGCTCGTCCGTCGCCGTCGTCGTGTCGTTCGTCGGCCTCGCCGTCGTCCTTCTTCTTCTTCTTCTTCGTCGTGGTCGTCGTCGGCGGTGGCCAGTTTCTGGTCCTGGACCTCGTGCCCCCCCGAGGACGCGCGGGAGGGCAACCCAGAATCCTAGGATCCTCCTCCTTCCCCTCTCCTCCCCGTCGTGGCCGCCCCCTCCTCCTCCTCCTCCTCCTCCTCCTCCTCCTCCTCCTCCTCCTCTCCTCCTCCTCGAACCCTGGAATCCTAGAACCCTCCTCCTCCCCCTCCTCCTCCTCCCCCCCTCCTCCCCCCCTCCTCCCCGGCGAAAAGCAGAGGCGGCGCGCTCCTCTGGAGGGCCCAGACGCCCTGGTCGCACGTCCTGCGGCTGGTGCGGAAGTCGATCGCCGGCAGCCAGCGCAGCCTCTGCAGCCGCCGCAGAGTCCTGCGGCGCGCGGGGGGAGAGGAGGGGGCCCAGAGAGGGAGGGGGCCCAGGGAGGGAGGGGGATCTCCAAGAGGAGGAAGAGGAGGAGGAGGAGGAGGAGGAGGAGGAGGAGGAGGAGGAGGAGGAGGAGGAGGAGGAGGAGGGGGAGGCGGAGGAGGAGGAGTGGCATCATGGAGACCCCATATCCCACTTGCTGGGAAGTTGCCGATCGGCCAGATCGCTCGGGGCCGCGCTCGTGGATGCATCGTGGTGGGGGTCGTGCATCTCGGGGCGAGCCCCCTCCCCAAGACGGGGACTTGGACAACAAAGCAGGGCGCTGGCGGGGAGGGGGGATCTCCAGGAGGGAGAAGGAGCAGGTCAGGAAGGTTGCAGGCGGCGGGAAGGTCCAGGGGATGGAGGATGGAGGGAGGAGTCCCAGCAGCCGCCTGCAAGGCCCCTGGCGGCGTGCGGCTCGGGGAGCCGCCTCGGACGGGCAGATTGAGTTCACACTGAGAAGCACAGACGGGTCCTCGTCCCCATCCCCTGATTCCTCCGCCTCGTTCTCGTCTTCGTCCTCGTCCTCGTCGACTGTCTCCCCTACCCTGGGACCCCGTGGAGCCTCGTGGCACCCTCTAGAACCTTCGAGCACTACCTTTTAATGAGCCCAGCGCCACCCTAACAAAAACTCGCCCCAATTGAGAGGAACCACAGGCCAGAAGGCACCATTTCCAGGGGCACCGTTGAGCACTGTAGGCAAGATACTTGCATCCTGGCATACATCACAATCACCACTGGTAAGCTCCATTGTGCGGCGCTGGGTCGTTGCATATGTGCTTGTGGCGGTGTCTGTGGGCACTCCGAGTGCGCATCATCGCCACCGTCACCGCCATACGCGCCGTCGTCAACTTCACGCGTGACCAGTTCGCTGCCTGGACTCGAATTGCATGGCCAGGGTTTCTATCATGGTCTCCTCCGCCTGGTGTTAAGGCCATCGCCCACAGGGTCTTACGTCCCTCACTGACGTCCGCTGAGGTGGTTCGTCCGTTCGCTCGAGCTTCGATCCTCGATTGACATTATGAACGCTTCGCGTATACCCACTGGCCCATCCAGAAACGATCGCCAGGCGAATTGCTTGGACCAGGGAAACGTAAAAGCATGCCGTGGAGCTGTCTGCTGAGGTGGCTCGTCCTATCGTCCGAGCGTCGATCCTCGATTGAAATTCCCCAGCTCGCATCAACAGCATCACCACTTTGACAGGGTTGATTAACACGTCTGGGTAAGAAGAGTTTCGTTGTTTCGTTGATGTGGGTTTGCTTCGTCGCAGAACTGGTTCAACGGAGTAGAACTGGTCTTAGAACTGGTCATAGAGCTGGTCAAATAAAAACAGGATCCGGCATAGAACTGGTCGGCTTTAAAGGGGAATTACTTGATGGATTCAACAATGTATTCGTTTGAAACTACCAGTTCCATGCCTGACCCTATTCTCAACGGACCAGTTCTATGACCAATTCTATGACCAGTTCTATCCAATTTTACCTGTTGTACCAGCTCCACGCACTTATCCACGCAAAGGGGAGCCGCGGTGCTGCCAGGGTACGCCGTTCTTTGTGTTTTTTTTTTTTTTTTTTTTTGGGGGGGGGGGGGCGCGCTTCGTTCGATTTGCTTTGCCTTGCTGTGCGTTGCATGTCCGCGGTTCGCGTTGCAGTGTGTTGAGTGCGCATCATCGCCACCGTCACCGCCATACGCGCCGTCGTCAACTTCACGCGTGACCATTGCGCTGCCTGGATTCGAATTGCATGGCCAGGGGTACTATCATGGTCTCATCCACCTGGTCTTAAGGCCCTCGTCCACATGCTCGTAAGTCCCTCACTGACGTCCGCTGAGGTGGTTCGTCCGTTCGCTCGAGCTTCGGTCCTCGATTGACATTATGAACGCTTCGCGTATACCCACCGGCCCATCCAGAAACGACCGCCAGGCGAATTGCTTGGACCAGGGAAACGTAAAAGCATGCCGTGGAGCTGTGCGCTGAGGTGGCTCGTCCTATCGTCCGAGCTTCGATCCTCGATTGATTTTTCTCCAGCTCGCATCAACAGCATAACCACCTTGACAGGGTTGAATACTACGGCGAGTGGACTGCAAGTGTCCACACTTGTCTCGCCAAGAACTTGAGTTATTAAAGTTCGTCGTGCCAACATGTATACCCCATTCCCCTCAATTCAAAGTTGGCGGGCTTAGGCGGAAGGCCAAAGGCCAGGGACAAAATGTGGACACTTCAACTTTGAGTTGTGGGCGGAGGGGTGCGAAGCAAGGGCATTTCGCAGTTGTGGTTTAACCCTGTTGCATCGCCTTTCCGCCATGGGTGTGGACACTTTTTGTCCGGGCACCGTAGCCTTAGGCACAAGGGGCGGATGCTAACTTTTCCCAGTCACCGAGGCACGAAAAGCGGATGCCAACTCCTGTTCATCGACAGTTGTGGCGCCTACATGAGACCGACGCCGTCAAGGGCTGTCGTGCTCGCAGAGGCCACCGAAACGGGCCTCGTAACACGACCTCCTTGGGGGGGCCGTGCCTGGCTGGAACGTGAGGCCATTTAATCCTACACCACTGTCGCCAAGCCGCTCACTGGGCAAGGGTCTACTCAGAAGTGCTCCTCGAGTTCAGTGAACTCTTAGTGGCGCCCCGTGCGTCCCCTGAGCTTCTCCCCTTACCCAGTATCGAATGGCGTCGGCACGGGGTGTCGAGGAGGAGGAGGAGGAGGAGGAAGAGGAAAGAAAGAGTGGAATGAGGAGGAGAGGGGCAAGGACGAGGAGGGGGAGGACGCGGACGAGGAGAGGAAAGGAGCATGTCTTCCTCCTCCTCCTCCTCCTCCTCCTCCTCCTCCTCCTCCTCGCAACTGCGCGGGTCCTGCGCAGCTCCGCGGCGTCGATGCCCCGAGTCTGTCCAACGGGGTCCCCGTAGGCCGGCTGCGCGCCCATCCTCGCGGCCAGCCGCGGGTCCACGGAGCTCGGCAGCACTGGGCGCGGTCGCCGTCGCTACCGCCGCCGCTCTGGTCGTCGCCGCCGCCCTCGTCGCCGTTGGCGTTGTCGTGGAAAAGAGGTGGAGCGGAGCAACAGGAGGAAGAGGAGTCGGAGGAGGGGATGATAATAATGATGCTGATGATGCTAATGATGATGATGATGATGATGATGATGATGATGATGCTGCTGCTGATGATGATGATGATGACAATGATGACAATGAAGATGATGACGATGATGCTGATGCTGCTGATGATGCTAATGATGATGATAAGGAGGAGGAGGAAGAGGATGAGGAGGGGGAGGAGGAGGAAGAGGGGGAGGAGCAGGGGAGGAGGAGAATGAGAAGGAGGAAAAGGAGAGAAAGGAGGAGGAGGAGGAGGAGGAGGGGGAGGAGGAGGAGAGGAGGAGGAGGAGGAGGAGAGGAGAGGAGGAGGACGAGGAGGAGGACGAGGAGGAGGCGCAGGAGGAGAAGAAATGAGGAGGGAGGAGGGAGGAGGGAGGAGAGAGGAAGGAGGAGGAGGAGGAAGGACGAGGAGGAGAGGAGGAGGAGAGGAGGAGGAGGAGGACGAGGAGGGAGGAGGAGAAGCAGGAGGAGGAGGAGGAGGAGGAGGAGGAGGGAGGAAGATGAGAAGGAGGAGGGCGAGGAGGAGACCCCCCCCTCCCTCCCCTTCCTCCTCCATCCCTCTCAGTGCAAGCGGATCCTTCTCGTCGCACCATCGCGAGTCGGCGGGGCGGTCCGGGCGGCCCACCTGGGACCTCCTCGCCGCTCAGGGCCCAAGCTTTTCGAAATGTGGCTGCCGCCGTGCCGCCGCGCAGATGCGATGGGCATGCCCTGAACTTGTAATCATACCTGCTAGCGTGCACTACGGCTGTCACTGTTCAAACCAAGGCACTCGCCCCAATGACATGACCGTGTGCCACTAGTCTTTCGAGGAGGTGCTTCCTGTAGTGGAATATAAAAGGAAGGGAGAGAGAGAGAGAGAGAGAGAGAGGGGGGGGGGAACGAAGACAAAACATTCCACGACCAAGCTTGGGGGGTGTCCAGAAACCAAGCCCTCCCACCGACAACAATCCCCTGGGGCCTCCCTGACCACCTCCAGCGAAAATAAACTATCCAGCGCCCCCCCCCCGCTAGGAACCCAGAGAGACCCACCCTCCTCCCCTCCCTGAAGCGAAGGGGGAAATGACACCGCATGGAGGACCCACCACAACCAACTGGTACCGATTCCAATTGCCCGTGCCACTGCTCAAATGACCGAAAACTGACTGTTACCAATTACAACCAGACACATTAAGCCGTGCAGTAGGATTCCGAGTGTCGAGCGTTTTGAAAATATACAGGAACCACATGTAACTATTCAATGTCCCTGTCACTGGGGCCTTCGGTGGAGCTCCCTGTGGGGCCGCGAAGCGTGTGAGGGGTGTGCCGACATAGTTGCGGTGGCGCCATGTGGAACTTGCCACTGGGGCCTTCGGTGGAGTTCTGTATGGGTCCACGAAGCGTGTGAGCGGTGTGCCAAAGTGGGTGCGGTGGCACCATTTGACCCCTGCCACTGGGGCCTTCGAAAGGGGTGTGCCGAAATGTGCGCGGTGGCGCCATGCAGACCCTGCCGCTAAAGCCTTCGGTGGAGCTCCCCATGGGGCCACGAAGCGTGTGAAGGGTGTGCCTGCCACTGGGGCCTTCGGTGGAGCTCCCTGTGGGTCCTCAAAGCGTGTGAGGATGGTCGCGGTGACGCCATGCGGACCTTGCCACTGGGGCCTTCGGTGGAACTCCCTATGGGACCAACAAACGTGTGAAGAATGTGCCGACACGGACATGCGAGAGCTGAGGCGGAAACGGGACGCCGATGGTGATGGTGCCAGTGATGGTGCTGGTGATGGTGGTGGTTGTGATGCTGCTGATAATGATGCTGCTGCTGCTAACGATGATGAGTATGCTGATGATGCTGATGATGATGGTGATGATGATGATAATGCTGATGACAATGGTGATGATGATGATAATGCTGATGATGCTGATGATGGCAATGATGATGACTACGGTGTCGATGCTGACGTGCGGAGGCCAGAGGCAGGTCTGTGAGGAGGGGGGTTGTGGGATGGGGGACGCGGGGCGCTGCTGAGTCATCACCAGGACCCAACACTACAGGATGTTCGGGAACACGGAGTACGTAGCACCCCGAATTTGCGCATCAGAGTGAGTGGGCGGCAGGGTCGTCGGCGGTCTGCGAGTCTCTGACGAAGCTCACCGCAGGCGACGATGTCTTCACACACTGCACAACGAGCCCGCCGCAAGCGCTGAAGTTTCGTCAAAGCAATGTGGGTGGACCGTGGGTGGGTCACGGGATGGTTCGCGGGGTGGGTCGCAGGATTGGTCGCGGGTGAGGGCGACGACACCATCAACGCAACAACGCAACACTAAGACATCACCGACGCAAAAACAATCCGCACCGCGGAGCCCCACTTTCGCCAAACGCCTAGGAACGGCGAATGGCGACCTTGAGGCCCCTTGCCCTGACATCTGTTAGCCAGCGTGGACCCCGAACAGTGCAATCCTAGCAATAAATGCTGCGCAATCTATGTGGCATCATACATATATGCGATGTAATATCTGTGGTGCGACACGTGTGGTGCGATCGATGGTGTATCATCTGTGCTGTGCAAGCCATGCCGTGCGATCGATGTTATGCAGCTTATGTGGTGCAATCTATGCTGGGCAATCGATGCGGAACAACCTATGTGGTGCAATCTATGTGGCGGGTGAAATATATGGTACACTATATGTGGTGCGACATATGTTGTGCAATCGATGTAGTGGAATGTATAGAGTGCGATCTACGTTGTGCAACCTGCGTGTTGCAACGTGCGTGTTGCAATCCATGTGGCACGAGCGATTCACTTATGAAGTGCAATGTACGCGGTGCAATGTGTGCAATGCAATTAATTTCTGTTCGCAGTGAGTTGTCCACTCCACTGCTCGCGCAAACATCCCACCCACCCACCCGCAACTTGGTTTGCAAACTCTCTTAAGACCATGACGGTGGGTACCAAACGGCACTTGGCAACAACAGCGACGCTGACGACGCCAGCGACAACGACGACGACGACAACGACTACGACGACACCGACGACGTCTCCAACGACTTCGACGAAGCCGACAACGACGACGACGACGACGACGACACCGACGACGACGACGCCGACGCCGACAACGACGCCGACGATGACAACGACGACGACGATGACGCCGACGACGATAATGAAGACGACACCGACGACGACGACGACGTCAACGACGCCGACCACGACGACGACGCGGACGACGGCGGCGACGACAACGACGCCGACGGCGACGACGACGACCACAACGACGCCGACGCCGCCGACGACGACGACGACGTCGCCAACGAAGACGACGAGGGAGGAGGAAGGACGACGACGGCGACAACGACGATAACGACGACAACGACGAGGGAGGAGGGAGGACGGCGACGACGCGAACGACGAAGAAGGAGGAAGGACGGCGACGCCGACGACGACAACGACGAGGGAGGAGGGAACGACGACGACGACGACGACGACGACGACGACGGCGACGAAATAGGAGGGACGACGACGAGACGCCGACGACGGACGACGACGACGACGACGGAGGAGGAGGAAGGACGACCACGGCGACAACGACGACTGAAACGACCACGACGCCAAACAGGACGACGACGACGAACACGAGGAAAGACAGAGGACGACGTAGGCGACGACGACGACGACGACGCGGGAGGAGGGAGGACGGCGACGACGACGACGACGACGCAAGAGCGCGCGCGCACGCTTTTGTTGAAAATCCGTGTTGCGAAACCTTGTGTTTTTGTAGGTTTTTTGGACACACGATTTTGAAATCCTTCCGAAACCGATGGGTTTTGAAGGTTTTCGGCATACGCGCGCGACGACGCGCGCGTCTGCACTTCGTCCCATTTTTGCAGAGGATTCTCGCGACGGCACACGCGCAAGGGCGTTCGACAGATTTCGACATGCGCGCGCGCGAAGCCCGTTTGGTAGCATGTTGTGAAAATATTGAACAAACTACGGTTTTCTTAAGATTTCGCAAGAGCTCGTGCGGAAGCTGTTTTAGCACATCTGTGTTGCGAAACCTTGTGTTTTGTAGGCTTTTTGGACACACGATTTTGAACTCCTTCCGAAACCGATGGGTTTTCAAGGATTTCGGCGTACGCGCGCGACGACGCGCGCGTCTGCACTTCGTCCCAATTTTTGCAGAGGATTCTCGCGACGGCACACGCGCAAGGGCGTTCGACAGATTTCGACATGCGCGCGCGAAGCTCGTTTGGTAGCATGTTGTGAAAATATTGAAAAACCTGTCTTTCTTATGACTTCGCAAGAGCTCGCGCGGAAGCTTGTTTGGCAAATCAGTGTTGCGAAACCCTGTGTTGTTGTATGTTGTTTTGGAAACTCGATTGCGAAATCCTTCCGGCACCGAAGGTTTTTGAAGGATTTCGGTATGCGCGCGCGACGACGCGCGCGTGTGCACTTCGTCCCATTTTTCCAAGGGGTTCGCGAACAAGTGTTATGTTAGAACAAAAAATGTCACCGCATAGTGTTTTTTTACAAGGGACCCTCAGGTGGGGGAACCCGGTTGGCCTGGGACATTGTGATTTCATATTTCGGATGGACATGTGGTCATAATCATATATGATTTACATACCCGAAAGGCGGACCGATAACGCCGGAGGGGGGGGTAGATCCTATTCTGTTTTTAGAAAGGAGAATCAATGCGAAGCGGCGTCGGCGACGACGGGACGGCGACGGCGAGCACGGAGCCGCCAAACCGCCACCCGGCGGCGATGGGGCGGCGACGGCGAGCACAGAGATGAGGGACCGCCACCCAGGCCCAGCTCCTGAGAGCAGAGGCAAGAGCCCCAAGGCGAAAGCGCTGTTTGGTAGGGGGCCACATGCGAACCCTACCCCTACCCCCCACGATTTCTGAAGGGGGAGGGTGGGGCTCACTTCGCTCGGGAGCTCCCGAGCGAAGCGAATCCCACCCTCCCCCTTCAGGAATCGTGGGGGGCAGGGGTAGGGTTCGCATGTGGCCCCCTATTTAGGGAATCGCTGCAGGGGCCCCACACCCCGGGCCCCACACCCGCTCTTCGGGGCCACACACACACCCTGTGGCGAGAGGAGGAGGAGGAGGAGGAGGAGGAGGAGGAGGAGGAGGAGCGTTCGCATGTGGCCCCACAGTCGCTGCAGAACAGAGCATGGGGCGGGCTTCTCCCCTGCGCGCGGCCCCGATCGGGCGGGGGGGGGGGGCCCGAGAGAAGGAGGAGCCATCTGCTGTGTCCTGCATACAGGCTTCTTCTCCCTGCGCGCGGCCCCGATCGGGCGGGGGGGGGGGGCCCGAGAGAAGGAGCTCTGCTCCCCGAGCCACGCCCTCCGCGCCTCTGCCATACTCCCCCCCCTCTCTCCGCCACGCGAGGGAGCAGCACCGAGAGCGAGGAAGGTGTATACTATACATGTATACTCACTTCTGGTCAGGTCCAGGAGCTTGGGGCTCGAACTTTTCGCGTTCGCTTCGCCCCCAGAGATTTTCGGATCATTCCCCACCAGTCTGCCATGCCCGCCACCCCTGCGAAGGAGCACCTCTCCATCGTGATCTGCGGGCATTTCGACATCAGCGAGAGCACCACCACCGCCCGCCTCAACTACGACCTGGGCGGCCTTCCGGAACACCAGCTGGAGAAGCTGAAGGAGGAGGCCGTACGCCTGGTACCAGGCTCCATCGCCTTCACGTTCTACACGGACAGTCAGAAGGAGCACGAGTGCGGAGTGACCAGCGCCTGCACCACCCAAGACTTCTACACCGAGAAGCGGCACTACACGGTCGTCATCGATACCCCAGGCCATCGAGACATCAACAAGGTCGACAACCTGCAGAAGAAGTCTGACAACATGGGCTGGTGGAAGGGCTGCGATGTCACGTACGGCAAGGACTGCGTCACCCACAGATACAAGCAGTTCCGCTATGCCGAAATCGCGAACGAAATGAATAACATGCTGGTCAAGGACGGGTGGAACAAGGACTTCGACGAGAAGGCCACGCCTGCGATGCCAGTCTCCGGCTGGATGGGCGACTATCTGCTGAAGAAGTCTGACAACATGGACTGGTGGAAGGAGTGCGTGGTCGAAAACGGCAAGGCTGTGGAGAAGGACTGCGCTGACTTGCTAAAGAAGTCTGTCAACATGGGCTGGTGGAAGGGCTACGATGTCAAGTTCGACAAGGCCGACGCCCACCGCAGCGCTGAAACCCATCGCGTTTTCATCAACAATGTGGTCGGAATCGCGATCGAGATGAAGTCATGCTGGTCAAGTTCGGGCGGAAAGAGAATTTCGTCGTCGAGGCCAGCTGCAAAAACATCCATCATCATCAAACCGTGCGGTGAGGTGGCACGGAATTTCACCCCAATTGGGCTTGCACCTGTCAAGCCTTGCCGCAAGCTGCCAGTGCGCTTGGAGCGGAGATGTCCGCGGGATTAGTCTTCCCCGATCTCCTTGTGTTGCTTCAGTTCAATGTTTGTGAAGAGTTTGACCAGGCAGGTCGAGAGCCTCACAGGAGGTGAGGTGCTTCCCTGCGACATCGTCTGCAACACTTTCTGCGTGGCATCAATTCACTCCAATTGCAAGTATAGCCAGTCGGATTCCTCTCACTGCTTGCCTAGAAGGCGCGTGGGCCACTTTCGCCCAAGCCGAAAGGTCGATGGCCCTCGCGTGCTGCCTGGAGTCCCCACCCCTCCACAGGAGGCGGCTCTTTCTTGGTGCACGCTCCCTGTCTCCCAACCACGCGCTGATCCTCTGCCTCCTCGCGATCCGTCTGGCCCCTATGGGCCGCCGGGCATAGCAGAAAACCAGACCCCCGACACAAACTGAATCCATAATTTCTCTGATTAGGGAACCAAGCGCTGTACACCGACGCTTTTTCCGGCCCTGCACTGAAGTCTGCAAACAAGAAGGCGGATCCTGGTGTACACGGGATCCTGGTGTGTACATGTTTCGTTGCTTCCCGGAGAATACGGGGGAAGCAGTACACACCGCACCACCCCGACGTCGCCCCCGACCCTCAAAAAGCCGTGGGGTTCAAAGGAACAGCCCGCCACTGGTAATGTCTACGTTCCAGCTTCCGCAGCAGGGCCAGCCCGAGCTCCGCCACCAGGAGGCGAGCGCGGGAGGACAGGGAGCAGGGCCTGTCCCCCTGCAGGGGGATTTTTGACGAAATTCGCAAAACACCCAGAATGCTACAAAATAGTCAAAATGCTACAAAATACCCAGAATGCTACAAAACACCCAGGGCCTGTCCCCCTGCAGGGAGATTTTTGTCGAAAATACGCCCAGAATGCTACAAAACAGTCAAAACACAATCCCAAGACTATGTTTTGGCTATTCTTGAAGATTCCCCCTGTAGAAGGGGCAGGCCCGAGAAGAGGAGTGTCGCTGCGACCCTCCACGGGGCGCGTGCCCGTGGGCGCGCGCGTGCGCGGCCGTTCGCAGGGCAGCGCCCTCGGGGCGCTGCCGCGCCGGCGGTGGCGAGCCTGCTGCCTGCGGCCTGCTCGTCGCCCTCGCTTGCTCTCGGGGATCTTCGCCTCCTCCTCCTCCTCCTTCTCCTCCTCCTCCTCCTCCTCCTCCTCCTCCTCCTCCCCCTCCTTCTTCTCCTCCTCCTCCTCCTCCTCCTCCTCCTCCTCCTCCTCCTCCTCCTCCTGGGCTAATGCGAAGGAGCCTGCAGGATCCTGCAATATCCAGACCCCGGTCAGTGCACCCCTGGCGCTGCAGGACCCTGCAAGATCCAGAGCTCTGGCTGACCCCCGTTTGCACTGGACCCCCGTCTCGAGGCTCCCGATGCTCGTCGACGCCGCCGTCGCGGGCGTCGTCGTCCTCGACTTTGGGGGGGCCGAGGTCTCTTTGCATGCCTGTGGCCCACTGGGGGCCTCCCGATTCCTCTGGACGACCTGGGGGATGCTCGGAGGGTGCCGGAGGACTCCGGAGACCTCTAAAGGTCGTCGTCGTCATCGTCGTCGACATCGTTGGCCGAGGTGGTGTGGCCCCTGGAGCAGAGGATGCCCGGCCACTCACGCCTGGACCGTCACCTTCGAGATCTTCGTCAGCATGGGGAACTCGGCGTCCAGGTAGCGATTGCCCCTCTCGGCGAGCTTGCCCTGGTCGGGCCTCTCCCCGTAGCCCTTGTAGATCTGGTCGACGACGCCCATACTGAGCGAGCCCAGCACCTCCCCGAACGGGGCGAAGCCCTGGCTGTCCAGGAAGCTGTTGTCGT